TTTAATTTATACTTTTATTAATGAAATGAAATGATTTTTTAAAATTTATTTTAAACTCAATTCACTTATTAATGTTTACTTGAATAGATAATTGATTTCATTGATTTTCAAAAAAAATAGTTTTTAAATTTATGAGAAATTAATATACTTTACTAATTTCCAAAATTTTTAATATCATTATTATATCCAAAGTAATTTAAAAAACGAAAAAATAGTTTCTATAATATAAAATAAACTAATTTTAACGAACCTTTTTAACTCATATAAACTCAGATTAATTTATATCATTATTCCCAAAAACTGAAATTTAATATTCTTTTTTTAAAAACAATTTTAATTTAGATAATTATAAATTAATAAAATAGATTTGATAATAATTAACATAATTTTATAAATTAAGTCTATAACTCAAAAATCCCCTTTAAAAATCCCTTCTCTATTTTCACTATCAGAATTTGAAATTTGGAATTTATAAATAATAAACTTGCAAAAGATAAAGATATCTTCATATTGCTTAACTCATGAATAATTCAAAATCCGTATAAATTATCCAAATTTTTGATAAAACATACCCATGCTTGAAAAGTGTATTAGAAAAAGTTGGTATTGGTGTTGGTTTTGGGGTTGGTGTTGGTGTTGTGAATGTCTAGCAATTTTCGAAATTAGTGAAAAAGGTTGAAACCAGTTTTCTTTTATGATTCAGGATTTTACAACAATAAATTTTATCAAATATTATGTTATAATTAAACATTTCAATAAATATAAAATGGATTAAGATGGAAATAGATATATTAGATAGACATAAATAAATTTTTGATTATTTCTCAATAATTCTTCAAAAGTATAAAATATGGTTGTTTTATTCATTTAAACAAAATTTGACGATTAATATTTTGTAATTAATTAAATTATGAATTAATAGAAACAAAAGGAAGGGAGTATCCAAGAATTTTAGACTAAAGGTAAATAATGAAATTTTTGTTGAGGCTAAAACTTACTGAAAAATCACAAATATCAAGAAGCTATGCAGATGTTTGACAATGTTTTGAAAATAGATTAAAAAGATTTTCCATCTTTATGTGGAAAATGTAAAATTAAAAATTATATAGGCGAATGTTTAATATAGTTGGAAAAATTGAAAGATGCTTTGATATTTTTAGAAAAGGCTTTGTAGATTGAATAAAAACATATTGACTTACTTTAAAAAAAAAGTATACCCTAAATACATATTTAGGTTAATGCCTAACCTAATTAGAAAGATATTAAGAAGCCATAGTTATTATAGATTCTGCATTATAATTTTAACCAAAAAATATTGATTTATTACTTAATAAAAGTATTAAATTTTAGATTAGGCATATGTTTAAGGAAAATGAAAAGATTTGATGAGGCTTTGAATTAATTAGAAAAGGCAATTTAAATTGAATCTAAAAATATTTTACTATTAAATAATAAGAGTAATAAAAGAATTAAAAAAGGTTTATGCTTACAAGAGATGGGTAAATATGAATAAGCTTATCAAACATTAAATTAAGCATTAAANATAATATAAAATAAACTAATTTTAACGAACCTTTTTAACTCATATAAACTCAGATTAATTTATATCATTATTCCCAAAAACTGAAATTTAATATTCTTTTTTTAAAAACAATTTTAATTTAGATAATTATAAATTAATAAAATAGATTTGATAATAATTAACATAATTTTATAAATTAAGTCTATAACTCAAAAATCCCCTTTAAAAATCCCTTCTCTATTTTCACTATCAGAATTTGAAATTTGGAATTTATAAATAATAAACTTGCAAAAGATAAAGATATCTTCATATTGCTTAACTCATGAATAATTCAAAATCCGTATAAATTATCCAAATTTTTGATAAAACATACCCATGCTTGAAAAGTGTATTAGAAAAAGTTGGTATTGGTGTTGGTTTTGGGGTTGGTGTTGGTGTTGTGAATGTCTAGCAATTTTCGAAATTAGTGAAAAAGGTTGAAACCAGTTTTCTTTTATGATTCAGGATTTTACAACAATAAATTTTATCAAATATTATGTTATAATTAAACATTTCAATAAATATAAAATGGATTAAGATGGAAATAGATATATTAGATAGACATAAATAAATTTTTGATTATTTCTCAATAATTCTTCAAAAGTATAAAATATGGTTGTTTTATTCATTTAAACAAAATTTGACGATTAATATTTTGTAATTAATTAAATTATGAATTAATAGAAACAAAAGGAAGGGAGTATCCAAGAATTTTAGACTAAAGGTAAATAATGAAATTTTTGTTGAGGCTAAAACTTACTGAAAAATCACAAATATCAAGAAGCTATGCAGATGTTTGACAATGTTTTGAAAATAGATTAAAAAGATTTTCCATCTTTATGTGGAAAATGTAAAATTAAAAATTATATAGGCGAATGTTTAATATAGTTGGAAAAATTGAAAGATGCTTTGATATTTTTAGAAAAGGCTTTGTAGATTGAATAAAAACATATTGACTTACTTTAAAAAAAAAGTATACCCTAAATACATATTTAGGTTAATGCCTAACCTAATTAGAAAGATATTAAGAAGCCATAGTTATTATAGATTCTGCATTATAATTTTAACCAAAAAATATTGATTTATTACTTAATAAAAGTATTAAATTTTAGATTAGGCATATGTTTAAGGAAAATGAAAAGATTTGATGAGGCTTTGAATTAATTAGAAAAGGCAATTTAAATTGAATCTAAAAATATTTTACTATTAAATAATAAGAGTAATAAAAGAATTAAAAAAGGTTTATGCTTACAAGAGATGGGTAAATATGAATAAGCTTATCAAACATTAAATTAAGCATTAAATTATGATCCAAGAAATGTTGAATTATTGTAAAATAAAAGTATGATATCTAAATTAAATTAAGGCAATTGTTTAATAGCTTTGAAAAAATTTGATGAAGCTTCAAGAACTTTAGATTTAGGGCTAATAATTTAACCATATAATGTGAATCTTTTATTAAATTAAAGTATTATGAATATTATTTTTAGGCATTTGTTTACAAATTAAAACTAAATATAATGAAGCTTGTTAATTATTAGATAAAGCTCTATAGAAGGAACCTAACAATTTTGACTTGTTATTTAACAAAGGTGCCAAGCTTTATAATATTTAGGATTATGCTTAAAGATTTTGAATAAGTTTGATGATGCTTTAAAACTATTTAATTAGTCATTGAAAATTTAACCAAAAAATTAAGAAGCTTTATTTAATAAAAGTTTATTATTTTTATATTCAGGCATTTGTTTACAAAAAATAGATAAATATAATGAAGCTTTGGAACCATTAAATCTAGCACTGTAAACCTAACCCAATAATGTGGGTTTGCTATAATAAAAAAGTTCAGGTTTGATATCATTTAGGTTTATGTCTATAAATGTTAAAAAAATTTAATGAAGCTTTAACCCTTTTGAATTAAGCTCTTTCGATTGAACCTAAAAACATTTCAATATTATTCTAATAAAGTTAAAATCTATTTTTAAAATTTAGGCGATTGTCTACAATAAATTAATAAGCATAATGAAGCTTTGATATATTTAGACAAAATACTTTAAATTAATCCCAAAAGCATTGAAGCTCATCAACAAAAAAGTTAGAAATTTATTTAATGATAGGTTATTGTTTAGAAATAATGAAAAAATATAAATAGGCTTTAGCGGAGATTAATGATGCATTAAATATTGATTAGAAAAATATAGAATTAAACTTAAAAAAAGGTATTTAAGTTTCTTAATGTTTTTAGGTTAATTATTAATATAAATAAAATAATATAAAGATGCTTTATATCATATAAACAATATAATTTAGATTGAGCCAAGAAATGTCTAATTATTAATTTACAAAAGTAACAATTATAAATATTTTAGGTATTTGTTTAAGAATGAATGAAGAATATGATGAAGCATATATAGCTATTCAAAAAGCCTATTAAATTGATCAGAAAAACTTTGAAATTTTACTAAATTAAGGTTAGAATTTTATCTATAAATAGGAATTATTTTAAGATTTCTTAAAAAATATCAACAAGCAGTAGAGATATTTGAAAAAACTTTTAAAATTGATTCGAATAATTTCGAAATGCTTTTAAACTTAGGTTATGTGCATTAAAGAATTTAGGTATTTGTTTAAGAATGACCAATAAATATGATAAGGCTTCTGAAATTTTAGATAAAGCTTAAAAACTAGATCCTGAAAATATTGAAGTATTATAAAATCAAGGTTATATTATCATTAAATTTATAGGAAATTGTTTAAAAAAACTAGATAAGCCTTCCGAAGCTTTGAAAATTATTGAAAAAGCCAAAAAAATGCAGCCAAATAATATTGAAATACTTATAGATGGAAGTAATTATCAAATAGATTCAGGTGACTGTTTAATTATGTTGAATAAATATCAAGAAGCTTTATAATAAATTGATTAAGCATTAAAAATAGATTCTAAAAATATTCATTTATTACTAAACAAAAGTTTCAATAGATTCTAAATTTAGGTACTTGCTTAAGAAAGCTAAATCAATAAATAGAAGCTATTAAATAAATCGATATTATTTTAAAAATAGAACCGAATAACATTGAGGCTTAGATAAATTAATGTAATTTCTTATTACATTTTTAGGTAGATAATTAAGAATGTTACAATATTATCGTGAATCAACAACATTAATTGATAAGTATTTAAGAAATGAGTCAAAAAATTTTGATCTTTTAAAAGAGAAAGGTTAGAAAATACATTTATTTTCAGGTATTTGCTTAAGATTTTTGGAAGAATTTTCACAAGCTTTATATTGGTTATCATAAGCATCATAAATTGAAAAAAATGATGAAGAACTGTAACTCAATCAGGGTAAGAAATTTTATAATGAAAAGGTGTATGTTTAGTAAAACTCAATTAATATGATCAGGCATTAATTTGCCTGAATAGTGCAAAAAAATTTAATCCCAACAATATTGAAATGTTGACTAATTTAGGTATTAGGAGTTTTAACCTTAGGCTTTTGTTTATATATAAAAAAATAGTATAATGAAGCGATTAAGTGTTTAAATTAAGGTCTTACAATTGAACATCAAAATATAAATCTTTTAATAATAAAAAGTTTTTTATTAATGTTAATAAAAAGGTGATTGTTTAATTGAACTCGGATAGTATGAAAAGGCAAATTAATCACTTTACGAGGCTCTAATATTAAAACCAAAAGATGTTACTTTATTAACGAAGAGATGTAAAAATATTTATTTAATTTTAAGTTAATGTCCTAAAAAAGTTACAAAATTATAAAGAAACAATCCAAGTGTTGGATACAATTTTAGAAATGGATAAAGAAAATAAATTTTGTATTTTACAAAAAGGTATTAAAAACGACTAAACTTTAAGGTTATTGCTTAAAATTAAACGGAAATTATTAAATTGCTATTAATTGGTTTGATAAAGTTTTAAGTTATGATTAATATAATATTGATGTTATTTATGAAAAAGGTAATTTATTTATTTGTATAATTAAATTAGGATAATGCCTAAAAATGTTGTAAAATTATGTTGAAGCAATTTAATGCTTTGATTTTGTCTTATCGATTAATCCAAAACATGTTTTTGCTTTCTAAATAAAAGGTATGCATTAACATTATAAATTATTTTTAGGTGAATGCCTAATGTTAATGAATAAATATGAAGAAGCTATTTGTGTTTTCAATTAAGCATTATCAATCAGTTTTTCAGATATTTTTTCTTTATTTACAAAAGGTATCCTTATAAACTAAAAATAGGGAAATGTTTATAATTGATGAACAATTATCAAAAAGCTATTGAATAATTTGATGAAGTCTTAAAATTAGATAAAAATGATTTTAATGCTTTGTATTCTAAAAGTATCAATAGCTTGTTAATTTAGGTTAATGTCTAATGAATATTTATGATTATACTAATGCTAATATATGTTTAGATAAGGCTCTAAATATAAAAAATAAAAATTTTGATCTTTTATTTATGAAAAGTTAAATTAAAATTGAAAATTAGGTGAATGTTTAAAAATGTTGGAATAATATACAGAAGCTATTAAATATTTAGATATGGCATTATAGTTAAATTTCTAGCATTTTTAAAGCATTTATTTAAAAGGTAATAATAATTTTAAAATTTAGGTTAATGTTTAAAGTAAATTAATTCATATAAAGAAGCAATAATTTATTTTACAAAAGCTTTAGAATAGAATTAAAATCATATATAAAGTTTAAGAGAATTAGGTATAATGATAAAAATATTCTATAGGGGAATGCTTATTCAGACTGAAAGAATATTAAGAAGCATTTAATAATTTAGAAAAAGCATAAGTTTTAAATTCAAATGATGCATATTCCTTATATTTGCAGGGTGAATAGATTTTATTGATATCTAGGGGAATGTTTAAAACATCTAGAATAATGTTAATCAGCAAGTGAATATTTTGAAAAAGCTCTAAATCTTAATCCTTAAGATATCAATTGTTTAGTTTCATTAGGTTACTTTAAATGTTAATAAAAAGGTGGTTGTTTAAGATTTATGGGGAAATTTGATTAAGCTAATGAAATAAATGATAAGGTATTAAAGTTAGATCCAAAAAATTTGGATTCTTTGATTTTTAAAGGAGAGTATTTACAAAATAATGGAAATCAAGATTAAGCAATAAAATACTATAAATAAGCATTATCAATTGATAAAAATAATTTGAATACAATAATATAAATAGGTATTGATAGCAGCCTTATTATTAATTTATTAGGCATTTGNTATAAATTATTTTTAGGTGAATGCCTAATGTTAATGAATAAATATGAAGAAGCTATTTGTGTTTTCAATTAAGCATTATCAATCAGTTTTTCAGATATTTTTTCTTTATTTACAAAAGGTATCCTTATAAACTAAAAATAGGGAAATGTTTATAATTGATGAACAATTATCAAAAAGCTATTGAATAATTTGATGAAGTCTTAAAATTAGATAAAAATGATTTTAATGCTTTGTATTCTAAAAGTATCAATAGCTTGTTAATTTAGGTTAATGTCTAATGAATATTTATGATTATACTAATGCTAATATATGTTTAGATAAGGCTCTAAATATAAAAAATAAAAATTTTGATCTTTTATTTATGAAAAGTTAAATTAAAATTGAAAATTAGGTGAATGTTTAAAAATGTTGGAATAATATACAGAAGCTATTAAATATTTAGATATGGCATTATAGTTAAATTTCTAGCATTTTTAAAGCATTTATTTAAAAGGTAATAATAATTTTAAAATTTAGGTTAATGTTTAAAGTAAATTAATTCATATAAAGAAGCAATAATTTATTTTACAAAAGCTTTAGAATAGAATTAAAATCATATATAAAGTTTAAGAGAATTAGGTATAATGATAAAAATATTCTATAGGGGAATGCTTATTCAGACTGAAAGAATATTAAGAAGCATTTAATAATTTAGAAAAAGCATAAGTTTTAAATTCAAATGATGCATATTCCTTATATTTGCAGGGTGAATAGATTTTATTGATATCTAGGGGAATGTTTAAAACATCTAGAATAATGTTAATCAGCAAGTGAATATTTTGAAAAAGCTCTAAATCTTAATCCTTAAGATATCAATTGTTTAGTTTCATTAGGTTACTTTAAATGTTAATAAAAAGGTGGTTGTTTAAGATTTATGGGGAAATTTGATTAAGCTAATGAAATAAATGATAAGGTATTAAAGTTAGATCCAAAAAATTTGGATTCTTTGATTTTTAAAGGAGAGTATTTACAAAATAATGGAAATCAAGATTAAGCAATAAAATACTATAAATAAGCATTATCAATTGATAAAAATAATTTGAATACAATAATATAAATAGGTATTGATAGCAGCCTTATTATTAATTTATTAGGCATTTGTTTAAAGTAGATAAAAAATTATCCGAAAGCCATGAAAGTTATAGATCGAGCATTAAAAATAGATACTTAAAATCTTATTTTATTATTTGAAAAAAGTAAAAATAATTTAAAATTTTTAGGTGAATGTTTACGACTACTTGGATAATATTCAGAAGCTATAGAGTAATATCAATTAGTGTTAAATATTGATCCTAATCATTTTGAGACAATTATTTCAAAATGTATAGATATTTTCATAAAATTTATAGGCGATTGCTTAAAAAATTTAAAGGAATATGATAGTGCAGCAAGATTAGCTAGTAAAGTCTTAAAAATAAATAAAATAAATATAGATGCTCTATTAATTAAAGGTTTAAAGATATTTTAATTATTAGCTGAATGTTTAAAACAAATGGGAAGATTTTAAAATTCAATTTAAGAATTAGAAAATATTTTTGCTATAAATCCATACCATTTAAAATCAATTATATTAAAAGGTAATTATATATATAATTTAAAGGTGGATGTTTATCTTTAATGGGATAATATTAAGAATCACTCTTTTGGCTTGATAAAGCTTTAGGTATAGATGAAAATAATGTGGAAGCTTTAACAACCAAAGGTGTTATTTAATTATTATGAATTAGGCATGTCTTTAACTATGATGAAAAGATATTAAGATGCAATCTTAGTTTTAGATAAAGTTTTGGAAATTGAACCATAAAATTTATATTGTTTATCAGATAAAGGTACTTTTTATTCTCAGAAAAATAGGTGGTTGTTTAGCTAATATGAATTAACCCAAAGAAGCAATTGTTTGGTTTGATTTAGCTCTTTAAGTGAATTAATACCATCTATATTCTTTATCTACAAAAAGTAAGTATAATAAAATCTATTATTTGGTATGTGTCTAATAAGGATTGGATAATATTAAGAAGCAAATTAATTGTTGAATAAAGCTTTAGAGGTTGATCCATTTCATTATTATTCAATATCTATTAAAGGTTATATTTAAGAATTAAATCCTTAGGTGGAAATTTATTAATTTTGAACCAATTTAAAGAAGCTAGTTTATGGTTTAATAAAGCATTAATTATCAATTCTTAAGATATATATTGTTTATCTTAAAAAGGTTCATTATCTTCTTTATTTAAGCTTGTTGTTTAGCAATGATTGGTTAATATTAATTGGCAATTAAATTATTCAACAAAGCACTAAACATAAATTCCAAACATGTCTATTCATTATCTGCAAAAGGCAAGTTAAAAGTATAATATTTTAGCTCATTGTTTAAATTTAATTGGTGAATAGTAATAAGCTTTATAATGTTTGGATGAAGCATTGAAATTAGATCCAAATCATTAACCATCTTTAAGTTTAAAAGGTAACATTATTCAAGGATAATCTAACAATTGTTTGAAAACTTAAACTATTTCAATTGAAAGCATAAAACAATTTTGAATTTATACAACATTGAGAAATTATCAAAAATATAATATAATTA